ACCATTCATGCAACCGACACCCATTTGGCGGCTGTAATGAGTTTCAGTTCGTCATACAGAGAGAACCGGCTGCAATCTGAAATATTCTACAGAAATGGATTGCCGAATGTCTTAAGGCTCAACCTTGCGAGGGCTAGGTACTCACCCAGAAAGTACCTATTGAACGGTAAGTGAATCCTTTCGGCATATTTGTTGGTATTTGCTCATTGCCAAGAGATCCCTGAATTTACATACATAAGTAGTTCGTAGGACTAGCCTTCGAATGATACATTTCGACAATTCTCCTTTTCATCTTTATGAGCCAGTCACCCATTCTCATCGCGTGGGACACATTCAGTGTGCAGCCGCAACTTGCTAGTTCATTCTCCCCTGCTCCATGTAGCATCTTAAGACCGCAGGTAAATAGAGAAGGCGTATGGAACTCCGAATTCTGTTCTAAGGGAAAGAATGACGCCGAAATTCCCCCGTTTTTTCGGTTTTGCAGATTTTAGATGGTATCCTACTATTACTACGTTTTCATTCGTGGTTTCGTAGTACTCTCCATATGACTAAGCATGCTAGGAAAATATTTCTCCAGCTCTATTTTACTTTGCTACTATTCCATTTTTGGCAAATCCAGCCCGCACTTCCTATTAAACTGCTGCCAAAAATGATTTCAGTCGCCGGATCCGATAATTTATTTTATACGTTCTAATATTCCTGTCGTCTGCATTGCAACTGCTTTACTAAAATCCCTACTAATTGCTTAACAGATGAGCCGAATTGCTCAAAACATTGCTCAATTATGATTGTCCGAATCTTATTGACCAACTAGGTCTGACTTGCACCCATTCATACGCTTGCCAATCACAAACAATTAATTGGAGATCCACTTGGACACCAACAAAAACCAGTCGAATGCCAATAACTTTATTAGTGAGCGCATAATCGCTTTTGAACGCCTCAAATGATTAGCCATTCCACTTCGATACAAAATATGTTGCAGCAACCAACGACAATCGAGGGGTATTACAACACCAATTCAAGTGGAGTTTATTATGAACATACGCCGGCTTAGAATGCGCCGAAAAAGGCGAAACGACCGCGCTGTTCACTTTTGATGCATCGTACGCATGCGCAATAGCCAATTGAATGCTGGCGCAGCTTAACGATAGCACTTTAATGCAACAACTCGATTTTTAAACGCTTCTAATGCTTGCTACGATATTTTATTATTATTTTATGATTTTTTTTTTTTTTTTTTTTTTGACTTCGGAAATCACATTTTTCCGCACACAAATACGATTACGAAATAGAACAGGAAATTCGGCATGCAACTCGCGCCGCACACCTGCCACCTGTCATAAAGAGCGAGTGGCGCGCGGACACCATTGATAAAGTCGTGCAGCGCGGAAGAAGCAGCAGCAGCAAAAGCAGTTGAGGAAGAGAAAAAGATTTAGCGGAAGGCCCACCTGCTCGCCGTGCCGTCGGTGTTGGGTTTTACTGCGTTGCATTAAGTGCAATTTAAGCGCATCATTATTACAGCAATTGCGCTGTAGAACAACAAAAGCAGCAAAAATATCGGCAGCAGCCGAGCCGGCAACATGCGTCCGAGTAAGTGGCAACACTGCGCTTGAGTTGAGTTGATGCACAACTTGAGTTGATGCCAATCCCCTCCGCACGGCACACAGCGGCCAATTAGCAAAATTTTGNAAATTGGGGCCGCTTTTCATATAACGGTAAATTTCATAAATGCTTGAAACTGCAATATTTCGAAATTTAAGGACGTTAATTTACTCAACATTGATACACCCCGGCTTACCATCTAGCGGTAGGTTTCGGAAAGGTGAAAAAACATATATTTAATACTTGCGCCGGGTATTTAATGTTCGGCTCCGCCCGAACTTAGACTTTCTTACTTGTTTTTTTTAATTTTTGCCAGCATTTATGTGACTACCAAAATAAGTGGCATTCCGTAGTTTTTGTTGCTACCAGCGCAGTTGCACTTAATTTTCGTGCTTCCAGTGGTAGTTATGTACATATGTATATGTATGTTTGTATGTATGTTGCTTCATTGTTGCAATTTTACGGTTGTCTCACTTAAACGTTGCTGTTGTTGTTGTTGTTGTGCCTTTTTTTGTGATAGCGCTTACCGCTGTGATGTAAGCTCAACTTTTATGACTTTTACGATTTTTGCATGACTCGTCATCAGCATCTTGGTCCATCACAAAAACTCTACTCCGGTCATGTGCTGTTGGCCATTTTGGGGGGGGGGGGGGGGAATTTTTGTGATGGATAGGAAAGTATCCAGCACACAGTGTTTAAATTCTGAGCAAAAAGTGTGTCTAATTACTTTTAGAATGATAAAACAAAAAGTCATAATTGAGGGACACTTTAACAAATTATTGCTTGACTCGGGCGGGGTAATAGGAAAATTTTGCAAACTCTCGAAGTACCTTTTACTTTGAAATTATTTCTTTTGGAATAAAAAATTATAACTCACAAACTGGCTCAACTTCAGCCCAACATTCGTACGGTAATACATCCGTAAGTACTGGAGTCCATACCTGGTATTGCCACTCGCACCTGCGGTTGTGACTAGGAGACTTCGTGGGGCTGCAGGTGGGCAAATCTAATGTTGCCCTCAATTTTAGAGGACCTTGCTAGGTATGTATTGGCTTTCATTGTGCAGATGACACTGCAGACAACTTGAGGGACTGTTGCCTGGGGACACTTTACGTGGCACAATGGTACGTATTTTATTATAAAAATAGCTATTTAACAATTATTTTCTGACTTTTATTTAATTACTCCCTAAATAACAGTTATTTCTGATTTTTATTTTACAAATCTAATCAAAATAAGAATTGTTTTTTTTTATTTTTATTTATAAAAAAAAACACTGTGCGACAATTTTATGTCAATTCAAACCGGCTAATATTTTCTGAAAGTATAGATATACAGTAATAAAACACTCAAAGGATTTGCAAAAGTTAGCTCGTATTTTTAATTTATGGCCTACTAAAATGTTCATGTCCCCGCCTAAGTAGTTTTCAAAAGAGTGGAAAAAATTATAGAAACAAATTCTGAGCGAAATTAAAAGTTAAGGCATTTATATAATAAAATTTCATGGGAAATATTATGCGCAGAAAATATTAACCCATTAGCTCCCGCCTGAAAGGGTCGTTTTGACCCCTACTTCAAGAAATCCCGCAAAAAGAAAATTTGTTAAGTTCGTTAGAGGATTGATATATTCTAGAAAATTCATGCCACCGACGTAAAAGTTTCTAAAAATTAAGATTAAAAAATCAGCAAAAAAAACTTGGTTTTTTACCACAAATTTTTTTATTAATTGAGTTTGGTTGTTATTCCTTCTTGGCATAGGTTTTTTGTTTTAATTTTATAGAGAGACTTTTACGTTGGTGTCATGAAGTTTTTGGCTGAAAAGAGCCCTACTAAAATTTTCCGAAGAATCAATTTCTAGAATATATCAATCCTCTAAAGAACTTCGAAATTTGGCTTTTACGGAGATTCTTGAAGGGTCAAAACGAAACCATCAGGTGGGAGCTAATGGGTTAAAGTGTTCTACGAAAATATTTTCCATGAAATTTTACATATATGGTTAAGCTTTAATTTCGCTCAGACATTTATTGTAACAATTTTTTCTTTTTTTTTTTTGAAAACTACTTAGGCCGAGACATGAAAACTTTAGTACGACAAAATATCAAAATACCATCATTCAAATACATCGAATGTTTTACTACTGCATGGGTATACTTTCAGAAAATATTAACAAAGTCCTGGCTGGTTTCGGCTTTCCCACAGTGTAATCTGCAAATAACAGTTGTTTTTGATTCTTATATTTTATGTCTTAGATAACAGTTATTAAAGACATTTATTTATACAAGCCATCAATAAAATTCAGTCAGTGACTTTTACTTTTAAAAGATAGCAATCTAAATCAATCAATGACTTTTATTTTGTAAGTCATACTTATAAAAGTCATTTGTGTAAGTCGCAGCTAACTTTTGTTCTCCAACACCTGCTTAACTGCGAAAAATTATAATGACTTTTATACGTTTGACTTAAAAAATAAAAGTCAGTGACTGATTTTTATCGATGACTTAAAAGTAAAAGTTACTGACTGATTTTTATTTATGAGCTCATTCCACGTTAAAGAAATCAAAAGTAGTAGGTATCTGTCCCATATTTCTTTGTGCGCGATGCTGCAGTCTTCCCGATTTATCCGCATTTTTTTTTTTGCTGTAGTACACTGTCACCGCCCGGTATGCGTATGTGCGCATAATTGAATTTTGAGTGGCTCGCGCATGCGCACGTCACACTCGATTGGAATTGTCATTTATTTCGTTTCGACTGATTAATATTACATATATTTTTTATTTGAAAAATTGTTTACATACTCGCGTACATTTCTGGTAGCAAATTTGGCTGCTGCTACTTTATTGCATCAATTACGCCCCGCTCATGTGCAATTCAATGCAATTCGATACGGGCGGGAAAAATTACACATACATAGTACATACATACATACATATGCATTTATCCACTGCTGTTGAGCATTCCCGCTCATATCACCAATTTTGGTAGTTGCAGTATTTTAACCAATACAGGTGTCATTCCCAGTTCAAAAAAAAAAACAGAAGTTATTCACACATACATACATACATGCATGCGTATACATTTGAATACAGGTGGACTTTTATAGTCAGAAGGTGATGGCAAGAAAAAGTGCATGATATATGTACGTGTAAAAACATTTGGAGTGTTGACGAGAGAGGGCCTGCCGGAAAGGGGCGATTATAAATTGCTGTGTTGCTGAATTGCAACCGCAGCATACCCATACAATTTTTATTTTAAGTCATTTATTTTTGCATGTGACTTTCCCACACCCATCCGCTGCGCTTCTGGCTCAGCTTGGACGAACATATTTTTGTAATTTCTCATTTTTTTTGCTGTTTTTCTTTCTTATTTTTTACTTTATATTTTCACTTTGCACTCACCTGCAACATTAACTCTCGCAATTTATCCAAATCGTCGCCATGTGACCTTGTCGGCAGATAACGTCCCTCACATGGCTGCTGCTGCCACGCCAGCAACACCAACAACACCGGCAATAGCCAAAGGCCCAGACTGAGTGATGGCGCTGAGGCGACGCCATTGCGGCGACATTTCACTTGAGTGCTGCTGCGGCTGCTGCTGCTGCCACTGCCGCTGCACATAGTTCCACTCTGTTTCTTGTTGTTGATTTTGTGTCTGTTGTTGGAGTTGGTGTTGCTGCTGCTATGGCTGCTGTTGCGTCGAATTGCCAATTGTGCTGTTACCATTGTGTTTCCGGTTATTTTATTGGGTGGCGTGTGGCAAAAATTTCACTTTTATTTGAGTTGGTACTGGTGCTGGTGCGTATCGACGTTATTTCAGCGCTTGCCTTTTATTTGTTGCCAGCGTTTGCTGCTGCCGCTGCTCCCACTGGTGGACTATCGTCGTTGGCTTCCCCTAAATGGCGCCGAATTTTTCCAACAATTCAATTTGCTCGTTTATTGTTGTTTGTCTTGGTTTTGTTTCTTTGTGTATGCTCAACTGACGGAATTTTATATTTGTTACTCTGCTGCTCTTGGCCATTAATGTAAATTGTTGCAAATGTTGCGAAAAGCGGCATTGAAATTCAAATACGCCCAGCATGGAGGAGAAGAAAAATGTAGAAAAAATTAATAAATTAAATGTTTTTATAAAATCTTCTTCATAAATGATACAACTTAAATGCATACACATGTACGCGCTTTTACGTTTCTGTTTTTGGGACTTTTTAATGTATACTTATTTCTTTTGTTTATTATTATTATTTTTATAAATGTTTATTTACATACGTATATAGGTTTTTGATATGTACTTAGTTCTTCTTTATTTCCGAATTTTTATAATTTTTTTAATTTAACTTCATTGACTTCGCTTTATTTTAATTTAATTTTATTTGTCCAAGGATTATTGTTTACCTAAATGTATTTACTTTTGTTTTATATGCGTATATTAAATTTTAAATTTTTTAGTTGAGTTTTGTTTAGTTGTTTGTTTTATTTATTTAATATTATTATACATATTTCAATTCATTTCATTCCAATTCATTTCAATTCATTTCATTTCATATTATTTTATTTTATTTTATTTTATTTTATTTTATTTTATTTTATTTTATTTTATTTTATTTTATTTTATTTTATTTTATTTTATTTTATTTTATTTTAATTTATTTTATTTTATTTTATTTTATTTTATCTTTATCCATCTCAAATTACTCACTTCTAGCCATTACAATTGCATTTTGCACTATTTCTATGAAATCACAGATTTTATATTTTTTATAATATTTTATTGCTAAAAAAAGTTGTAAAATTAAAAACAATGACATTCATAAACAGCGGGCAGTGCACAAGCGCCTCTCAATCGTCGCACCATTAAACCACAAACTCTTTTGACGCCAGCTGCGACACGTTGTCCATTTTCTGTTGCGCGCAATAAAAATGCAATGAAAATGCCATTTTTTCTCGCAGTCAAAATATAGTTACCAACACGATGCCATTGCATTTACGGGTCAATAAATATGCGGATATTTATATGAATATTTTAAATGGGCGTTGTCGCAGTGGAGCAGATGGATGCCACGGTTACTTCAGTGGTATTTAAATATTTTATATCTACTTTAGACCTAAAAATAATAATTTCAAAGCAACGCAGTTTTCATAACGTGTGGGTATAAAGATGCCGAAAGTTTCATTTTGTTCTCCAACTTTAAGTGAGCTCCGTTCCTGGTGTTGGGAACGATTTAATGTCGCCGAAAATTAGACGCTTGTTCACCATCACTGGGCAGCCGCTTCTCCTTTGTATCACAAAGTGAAACGAAAGAGGTCCGTTAGGTTGTGACCAGTATCAATCGAAGCACACTCTGTTGACAATGGATCACATTAGTGTTTCTGTGGGAAAATATGGCTAACTGTAAAAACAGCCTTATGCGAGACTAACTATATTTATGATTTTCACCTTCCAATAATTGGGTTTTATTATTGGGAATCTGTTGAAGAGAAACTGAGTTTTCCGCTCGAAAAATATTGATTTTCAAGAATTCCATACCATTTCCACGAAAAGTTCTTTTTTTCCCATACAAAATACATGGAAAACTTTGAGCGGCCTCTAAATATTTTTTGATCAAAATAAAAAAATAGGGGTATACTTATTTCGATATAGAGCATAAAAATTCCGACTTTACTATTTTACATGCATTTTTGGACCACCCTATTCTACAATCTGCAAGTGGAGGCCACTGAAGTTAAGTAGCTGTTAGACGTGGCAAGTGCAAGTCCTTTTCAAAAGTCTGTCAAACTCAAGAATTTCCAAAAGGGATTTCAGGAACAGTTACACCTTGCATGTAAACTGACTTGCAAAAGCAGTTTTTATTTCTGAAAATCTAACTTTGCGATACTACTTTTTGTGCACGAAACAGCCTAATACATTAATACTTAAATACATACTCCATATCGTTAGAATAAATTCATAATTTCAGTTGCAGTTACACCTTGCAATTTTCATTTCGGAAAGTGATTTTTGCAAATCTCCAAAAATTACTTTCCGGCTGTTTACACGGGAAAGTAGACTTTCGATTTCGCATTTTGACAGCGAAACGCGTAGAAAAAGCGCTAGTATTGCCATGTTTAACCACACCTTTAGGTTTGCCCGTTGCAATGTTGCCATGTTCAAAGTTTTAACTGTAAATTACAGTTTTTTAATTACCTGCTCGTACAAATTACAGAAACAAAAGTGTAATTTGAGCCAACCGTGGTTTTAAAAAAATGGGAATTTTTAGGGAAAATTTTCACGCACAAATAATTTCAAAAATATCATTGATAAAAAGTTTATGAATGCCACAATTTGCGCTGGCTTATCAGTCGTAAATAGGCACACGCGTAGGCTCCGAAATTTATCATGAAAAGTGTTAAAGACTTTCATAATAAAAAACGTAACCATTGTCTAATCAGCATGAGGTCGAGGGCAATAGGAAGCAAATGGTAAGATTATTTATGTACCAAACCGTATATGTGTAAAATTTAACACCAAATGCGTTCGTTGCCCTTCCACGCGTTTGTATTTGCGCCAATCAATTTTAAAGGCAAAAAAAAAAATCGTTGAGTGGAAAATTCGCAATAAATTGAACTACAATAATATCTACTCGTAACTTGGTTATTTATGGCACCATGGGGATAACCAAAGGCACAAATGAGTGGTTAGGCGTTCACACAAACGCATGTACATACATACGTACATATGTCAGTAAGTGTCGCTTGATACAAATGTGTGGAAGTAAAAGCGCATACAAATTGCCCCTAATCGCAATTGGAGATTGGGAGCAGATCCGTGTTGGTCTGCAGCAACGCTACATGTTTAGGAGCAAGCCCCCAGCCCAGCCCAGTCGCCGAAGAGTTGTGTTTATTAAGTGGAAAGTTTTATCTCGGTTTGATGTGGGCCATACGCACTTTCTTTTGCTGATTGCGGGTGAGAGTGTTTGTCTGTGCATGACGATGATGTATTGTAGAAAATGTGTAACTGGTGCGTTTTAATAGATTTATGGTGATGTCGTTTCTTCTAAAAAATTGTTGCCCTTCTGCGGTGCAAAATGTGTTTTATTGTTACACTCAACCCTGTAAAAGGGCATGTTTTTAGCTTCTTATCTTTTTCTAGGTGACGCATTTCATAATATTGCCGTTTTAAGCAGCAACCATTTGCTTTTCAGGGCAACCATCTCCTCTGACAATGCTTCAAAGGGCAGAGAATTTTAAGAAACGAACACAAAATTTTCTCATCTTTTTTTTTAGAATCGACCACAAAAAGATAAAGGGGCAATCCAAAGTTAGCTTATTAAAATGTCTGTATGTGTATGTCAAAAAAGTCAGAGTCAGCTCAGACCAGGTATTCCTCGGTACGCGACCAGTTATAATATTCCACCTTCGGCCATCGGAGGCACCGTCAGAAAGTGTGTGAATAATATGCTCAGCTATGACTGGGAGGCTTCGGGGCGTATGCAAGTGGGCAAGGTTATGTTGCCCTCAATCTCGGAGGACCGCGCTATGTTTTTGCTTTTACTGAACTCATTACTTTACGTGGCACAAACATACATGACAACCCAATTCGCTCTTCTTGGCTTGAAGATGAGGATTTATGTGTCTCTGCTCCGCCTTTGCAAGGATAAAGTATGAGGCTTTTGGCAGCGATATGTTGATTAACGAACACCATTCTGCCTAGAGGTCTGATTTTGGAAATTTCCAATAGGGTCAAGTATTTAGGGGTACGATTAGGTTAGGCTGAATAGGCGTATTGTTTTAAGGGCAGATCACTCACAGAGGATGGGTTCCTCTTTCTACTCATTTGTTCCACAACTCCTAGTCATTTTATCTTATTTCGTGGAAAGCCAACCAACAGTGTCCAGTATGTTATTTCGTCCTTACATTGTCCTTACCCCTGGCAATTACGTGATATGGGCTACGGCTTTTATGTCTACGGGATCGTGCTGTGGTCGTGGTCCCATTTAATGGGGAAATCGACACCTCCCCTATCTGTACAGTTTCCGATAGAAAGCCTTATTCGACGAATGTGTCGGCCGCCTAGTTAACGTTGCATCGGTATACCCGAGGAACCCAGTACAAGCGCACATCCGTGCCAGCATGTAGTAGTTCATCCATGGCTGCCCTGCACTCTGTCAAATTTCTGTGCAAAAATATTGCCTTTTCGCAGCGAGATTGTCAATCATTCGTTTAAGATGCTGCAATAGTCTGGCCGCTTATAGGATTTACTAAGATCGACACACACGCCCATCTACGACCCACCTATGGAAACACTCGCCGCGTCAGCCCTCCTCAAGCCGGCACGCCAACCTTCGACCTCTATTTATAGAAGCTCCGAAATTCAACTCGAATTGCAGATCCGTGATCATGTAGGCCGACCGCTATTTGAAAGACCTCCAAGCACTCGGCTACGGTGGAAAAAGCAGTACTCAAATCCGAAAAAAACACAACAAAAAAAATGGAATAAAGTATTAAGTAAGCTGAAATAAGACCAAACCTGAACAGCATCTTTCTTTCGGCCCACGTACACATTCAGGTAGTTAGGGGTTACCTTAGACTCAAAACATTTTTTAGGGGGTTCGATCTATGATTCGAGCAACATCTAAAATTGCAAAGGGGGCTCTTATCTTGAGACCTCACAGTCGTCCCGATTGAGTCATAGTCTTTTGTTATGGTTGTGGTATTCTTAATTAGTGGAACAGAAATCGGTGGTAGTATAGAGTTATCCCATTCGCTAATTTGCAATTCTCATCGGCTATTTCGTTCTCGTCGATATCGCTATGTCCAGGAACCTAGCAGAGAAAGGTTTTCACGTGACTCAGTGAGACAGCGATGTGCGACATTTGCGAACTTCTTTCGACTCTACTACCTTGGAACCTAGTTTTTGCAATGCCGCCTGGCTGTCAGCAAATAAAGTGACGTTCCGTATGAGACAAGCCATCTTCTCTATGGCCTGAAAGACACCACAGTTATCAGGCAGGCGAGTCGACTCCCTTTTCCATCTTTGATCCAGCAGCTCAGATGAACTACCATCATTTACCGACAGCAGGCCACCTTTCCAATCTTTCATAGTTGGAAAATGTATGGGAACCTTAAGACTAAAGTGTCAACCAGACGTGACATCTAATTCGGCCTAAGTAGGTTAGGTTTGCCAGTTTATAGCATCTACTCATCTTGTCTTGAATATGAAGAAAATTTGTGGAGTCCCTAAGAAAAAGAGCTATGCAATGTTGATACTGAGCCCTTGCCCTGCATACCTCTGTAGTAAAAATATTTACTATAGAGCTGGTACTCGATGACGACAGGAGTTTTATGCTTGCCTATTTTCGCGTTCTCAGCCGACTTATGGATAGTCCATATTGAAATCTGTATCTATTGAAGCGTTTCGTTCACTTTTGCTTGGTTTCTTCACAAGCTTCTTCTACTAGACTATAGTCAAAATCTATGGTTATTTTATGTAAATAAAGCTGTATCTTCAAATGTACATACAAAAGTCCTATATGTACCTATATGTTTCCATACATATGAACATATTTAGACGCACACCCACTATGCCTGCAGATTTTCTCCACTATCGTTTTGCAATCAAAAAAAAACAACTTGCCTTCTTACATCTCCAAATTTTTGTAATATTCATTGCAACTCTTTTGGTGTTTTTATTTTGGTACTTCTCGCTTTCATTTGCATTTGAATTTTTGTGAAAACTCAACAAGCCATGGCGAAACAGATGAAATTAAAAGTAGTGTATATTTAACTCTATTTTGTAATTGTGGCTTATTCGAAATTTTCTACATACATATCTATGCATGTTAGCTTATTTATGACTTTCTACAAATGTGCGGTGCATAGTTTGCGTTGTTGTTGTTTTTATTGTTGCTGAGTCTTTTCGTATGTTTTCAATTAAAATCACAGCACCAGCAGCAAGCACTTCAGCAAGCATGACGAAAGAAGGTAACAACTTTATCGTTTTTTTTTTTTGGGGGTGTGAGGGGTTTTTGTTTATTTGTTTATTTGTTGTATTTGTGGCAACATAATTTAACCATAATGTTTGCACTCGCATGCTGTTTGGTTGCCTATGAAGGGATAATGTCTGCTTGCTACATGTGTAGCAAATAACTATATTACAAATGTTAACGTATGTTAGTATGTATGTATTTGTATTTGAGCAGCTGACACTAAAGCAACCTCCTACCTAATACAATTAAGAGGTACTGCAACTTCATGCAGTTGCCCATCCATAAATATGCATTTATGCAGATGCCGCCCTCCATCCATGTACTTACGACTCTTTAATTAGCGCGGTAAACAAAACTGCAACGACTACAAAATGAGTGCGAATATTTTTATTTATGAGTGTAGGGATTAATATTTACATACAAATTTAATTCGTATGCATTGCAATGCTGCTTGACAAACTATTGTTTTTGTTTGAATGATGTATACATATGTATGTACTATATATAGTACAGCCTATGTGCAGATAAATGAATTAGGGCACAAACTAGGGTAGATATAATTTTTTAGCATAGCTCCAAAATGGATAAAAATACATACAAATGTACAAAAGATCTAGCGACAAATGAAATCAAGCCAAGGTAACAGAATACCCCCAAAATTAGACGCGTTCATAGTGCGACAAACTCCCAGGAAACTCGACGATGTGATTTGACTATCAAATCGTTTGATTTAACGCTTTTGGATATATCTTTTGGGAGCTATGCGAAAAACCGTAAGCGCCGCCCTACCCAAGTGGTTAGAGAAACGTAGCGAATTTTCAACCCGCGCTAATAGAAATATTATTGAATGCCAATTTAATACAAATTCAACAAATATTGAGCATTTGTCGGTACAAAAATTTGAAAAAAATTTACAAATTTTTTTTGTTGTCAAAATTCTCGAAAACCGCTCGAATGATTATGTTTTTGTTTTCCTGAATCAAAAGTTCAGATTTTTTTCTTTTCGAAAGGTATTTATGTATGTATTTCGTCTTTTGTGTAACAGATGGCGCAGCTCCGGAGAAATATGTATTACCTAATCGCAGAGTATGTAGCTATGACATATGTACATGCATGTTGGAGCGTTGCCACCCGTTTAAAAAATCAAGTTTAACTTAATTTAAAGCAATTCCAAGTTTGAACTATGTATCCCGATATGAGTACCAAACAAAAGAAGTGGCGGTTTGAAAATACTTTGAAGATGGTGGCTACCTGTTTACAAGGTTTAATTCAAGGTATGCAATAGGTTAAATAAGTAACTTCAATCAAAATTGCATAGAAGAAACTTTATTTCTAAATTACTTGTAGGAGGGTAACAACCTGTTTTAAAAACTAAATTATGTAGTCCACTTGCAATAGAAAGCCATAAGTAAAAATAAAAAACGACTACGACAACAGGTTACATCTAACATTATTACATAACATAACATTAACAGTCTATACGGCCTAAAGCAGTTTTCTACACTGAGAGAAAAATCAATCAAAAATTGGGTAATATTACCAAATTCAAATTTGAATAAGAATCAACGTGATTTTTGGTTAATATTAACAATACCTTGGTTGATATTGTCAACAATGATTTGGTAATATTAACCACAATTTTGTTTACATTAACCAAACTTTTGGTTGGCGATTTTTCGTTTGAATAAATTTTTGTTCTGCACTTCACAGATGCTTTTTCATAATTCGGAGATACAAAACAGAAATTTTTTTATCATTTTAACATGTTGCCTCTGACGGGATTAGCAAATAACAGCAAGCATCTCTACACACTCAGCTACAGTCGCTTTATAAATGTGTCTTCAAATATTCAAGTTAAATCACTTTACTTTACTTTACAATTATGTACTTTAATTACTAGTGCGTTACCCACTAAAAACTAAAAATCGAAAAAATTTTACATAGCACACTTTACAAGTGGACTACTCAATTCTACTTTAATTAACGGAATTAGATAATTTAAATGTGTATTACAATACGTCTGTCAAACGAAACAGATTTAACAAGGTTTCAGTTAAAAAATATTTTGAAAGTGGTTGCCACCTATTTAAAAATTTAAACTAAATTTATTTAAAAAGGTTTTAGTTTGCAAATATTTTTAACAAGTCGACTTTGTTTAAATTATTCATAAGTCACTGTATGGAATATTAAAATATGGGCGTCAAACGAAAAAGTATTAGGAAATATTTAGCACGAACACTAAGAATAATAAAGACGGCTGCCACCCATTTAAAAAGTTAAACTAAATTTATTTAAAAAGTTATATGAATCATTAAAAGATGTGTAGCACTGGAAGCGGGTTCAAAATTCAATCCAATAAAATCGAAAGTAATGTACAGTTTTTAAACTGAATATGCTCTTAATATTATCACGCATTCTACGTTTAAGTTATTGTCAAAATCTGGCAATACCCATCTCTAAAAATTATAAAAAAATTGCAATTTCACTAGGAGCCTATTAGTTTTTCACCTCAAATACATCACTGAGGCCTTTATAGGGCAACCATTCTTTATCAACAAACATGAAAGAAATTAAAATGTGTATTCGCTGTATATGTAGTATGTACATTTCGATATAAAACATGGCCGGTTTAGGCTTTATTTTAACAAAAAATCACCTCGGAAAATTCGGATGTTTAACTCATTTCATATATCTTGACATACAAAAAATGCAAAAACTCTAAATATATTAAAAAATTGCTTTATGTTATTCACCTTCTAATGCATTCAAATCACTGAATCACTGCACACTGGAACACTGTCCGTTATTAATTTAAATATCCCTTATACTTTCACTTAATTGTGTCACGTCAGTTAATTTCGAAATAATTTCGCTTTCTAAACGGCCGAATTGCAATTTAAGTTTTGCAAGTTTTTTTTTGAATCAGTTAAACTTTCAAATTGGAGAAAAAAGTCTGTTATTTTTTTTTCAAAGATTATTTTCACTGATCACTTGCCTCTAATCGCACTGCTCTCGCTCGCGGCGGTATGTATTCTACGGCTAGGATTACTGTGGCGCTTTAAGCCACATACTGGCCAGGACATTTGTATTTATAGCCAGCAAGTCGTAGCGACGAGAACAGCGACGACAATGCCAACAAAAACGACAATGGCAACAGAGACAACAGTGGCGACGGTGACGACAGCAAGGATACCAACGAGCTTTGAGCATTGAGGGGCTGAAGGGAAAGCGGTGTGACGGTGTGACGGCGTGACGATAACGGTCGGCTGGCAAACGCGCGAAGCAAAGTAAGCCAAAGGATACGAATAGATACATACATATGTATGTATGTGTGGCCATGCGGCGGCGTTTAACCAACACAAACAAAACAAAAAGCACAGCACTTTCGTTCGCAAAATTCATTTCGCTTTCGCCATAAAAGTTTGTTTATAAGAGATAATATGAGTATGTATTTTGGTAAGTGAAATTGCGCAAGTATGCATGGCAGTCCAATCTGATAGTCAGTAAGGCAACAGCAAATATAATAATGAAATACCAACACAAGAAGTAAATATATATGTACACACACATATGTACATTTTATGTTTCAATGGTCGTCAAAAACAAAAAGACAAGGATGTACCCAGTATGAAAGAAGAACAAGCAGCTGTGGCGTAAAATAACAGCAGCCTAGCAGAAGTCAGTGCGCAGCAGCAGCAGCAGCAACATTTGTTATTCTGCAGGCAACCGAAGGCTGGACGCCTGAGTGGTGAAGGCAATGTGAAAGCTGAAAATTTGCTAGTGAATGTTGGTCAAAACCACAATGGAACATCGGAACGCACACATGCACACATACAGCAAAGTATAGCAAATTGTTGCTTTGTTGTTGTTGGGCCACCAGTATGCTGCGCCATTCGGCAGGACATGCGCGTAACTCCAATAACCATGTACCGCGTTAACAACAACAAAAAAAACAAAAAACATTCGCAAATAACTATTAACTTGTTTGTTGTTAATTGGCATTTATGATCCAATGTACCAGCTTGTGGGGGCGGCAGCCAGTAGCAAGCAGCACAGTGTGGCTTTGGTGGCAATTGCGCTGCCTGTTGTTGGCTGCTAACTAAACGCTGATGAGTGGCAACTATGCATTACAATTAGCTATCCTAGTTCAGAACTGTTGGCTGTTTTTGCTGGTAATTCACTGCTAGCATTAATGCGTATCTGTGTGCGCCCATTGTGGGTAATTTGAGGCGCGCATTCTGGGCTAATGTTAATCATGCTTTTCGCGGGTTTGGTTGGTTTAATCACTGTGAAGAGGTATCTACATACATATGCCTACATAGTATATGTACTTACTATGTGTACTATATACATAATCATATTCAACGCGTAATCTTGCAACGAAAGCTCTGAACTTTAAATTATTTAGGAAGGATTTTATGGAAGATATATAACTAGTATATGGGTAGAGCCCTTTCCGAGTATTAAGTAGCAGTATCGTTAACTAAGGATATGAGTGCTTTGTTTGTTATCGATATCGCTTGGTATAATGTTATCGTTATATTTATCAATAATTTTTTTGGCTTATCGATTTAGTGTTAAAAATATCGATTTACCGATATCTTTCTACTATCTATTATTTTAAACATCTCTCGATATTATTTATATTTATTATATTTATATTTATATATTTTAATCGATATATGTATTTCAGCCTTGAAAGCTAAATAAATTTATATCGAAAGTACTTTCAACGAAGGGGGGCCCTAACCTAATGACCTGCAGTGAAGAAGTTAATAATAATAAAGTTTTGTAGCCCATTCAATTTTAGTATAATAAAGAGCAAGTTTCAAGTGATTGTAAAATAGCGTTGATTGTTGACAATTTTTTTTTAATGGCAACAAAAAAAAAAAATTTAATCAAAGCTAATTTACAGCCACTTGAAACTTATGCTTTATTATAGATTGATTGGACTACAAAACAGCTTATTTCAAATTTAGTATTAACTATCGTTGGCAATTTTAATGTCCTAACCAATCTCTGGTATTTTAACTAGCCAAAACTTATTGAAATCCGGGGATTTTACTTCATTGTCTCTTATGATTGGGTTAGGTTGCGGTCATCAAACCCAGTTGTGGATACTCTTGGACGTTATATATGTCGTTCCATGTAAAATAGATAAAAAAAAATGGAGGTGACTTCACCTCATCATCCTCTAGGTAATTGCGCCAGTGATGCCTAGATGAAGTTTTTAGCCTCACTGCGTAAACTCAAATTGGACAGAGATCTTTAAGTCAATTTGCAAGCATAAGCAGCTTCCTTGCTCACACCGAGAAAAGAGTTTAGTTAAGTCAACTTAATATGTATCTGTCAGCTCATGATTTGGTTATAGTTACCAGGGGGGCTATTCTGTAATGCGATTCGAAAGACCAAAGCGATGCGATCGGCAAATACATCGTAAGTAAAACGGTGTCGCGATTGCCTATCGGATAGCATTTCTCTTTCTCATCTCATTACAGAGGGGCCCTGATCTTGTGTTGAGAGAAATATATTTAGTTGACTCTTTTCTCAGTGCATTCCTTATCCCTTTGGGGGAGAAAGACTTTGCATTAGCGCGCAAGTTCTCTGCCTGTGTATAGCATTTCAAGAGTGCCCTTTCTTACCAATATTTCAACCATGCAGTTTCCCACAATGTCAAGTTGGCCTAGTAGAGGTACCTATAGAAGTATAATGAAATAATATTGCGGCGCAATTGAGTGGGAGGTAAATCACACCCTGACCAATTAGCTTCCTTATTGCCTTTTTAATGGCAAATCCGTGAAAAAGTTCACGCACCTCGACCCACACAATCATCATTTCAGAGAATGTTCGAAGAGAAAAAGCTGCTTGGAACCATTTCTGAAAAGCAGTGATCTGTTGAAAATCGAAACTTTAAAACATTTTAGAGTACCCAAGCGCAGAGCTTGCTAGGCATCCGGTTACTCTGAGCCTGATTGCAGCCCGAGCTGCGGCACTTTTTCCAGCAATGTTAACAAACATTATGTTCAGGATGGCTTTGAAAAAGGATGAACCGCGAAAGGGTCTATTACCTTAGCTCTATGCTATATCCCTCCCCGATCTGACATATTGGTGTATTCACAACACGCCTCTTAACTTAAATCAGTTAGTTTTTTAACTAAACCCTCTGATTCAACAGGCAACAGTGTTGCCACTTGTTTGGCATATTTAAATAAAGTTGATCTGAAACAAAAAAGAAAACTAAATGGCATTTAAATTACACTTAAGTGCCGTGCTGAAATTGGCCCTTAGTAAATAAATATGTATGTATATCAATAACATAAATGACAATTTAGGTATGGCACTCTTTTTTCCATTCGCCCCATATTCTCATCCTCATTGCTTGCTCAATTGCATCATTACATTGCAGTGAAATTCATATTTTTTTTATTAGTTAGGTCATAACGTGACACAAATTGCTGCCACAACTTTACTTGTGGTCCTTTCCTGCTTTGGTATAGTCAAATATTTATTAGTTTTCCGCCTTTATGTCATTTAGCTGTCAACATGTTTTTATTACCGACTACAGCCACAGGCAGTTAACTGTAGTTATTAGTTATGTGTGTATGGATTTGCTATGTGCACCAGAGTAGTTCCCGATGCAGGATCTGTTGCCGGTTTTCATGCTTACATACATACATAGTAATGTGTTTATATTTTTTTTTATGTATTTTTGTTGTTTTATTGTCTATTACAGCTATTATGACGCTAGTATGCTTCCTTTTTGCATGCGCTGCATGTTGTTTGAATTCCTCTTGTTGGTCAATGCTGTTTTGTGGCTATAGCTGCAAGTTGTAACTGGTTTTAACCATAAACACGTTATTCTGGATTTGTAGGTTATATTTTTTTGAGCGAATTTAATTCTATATTCTGAAGCTTTGTTTTATATTTTCTAAAATTCTAAAATTATGCATTTCCCGGATTCGTTGGCGTTGTGATTGAGTTTTTGGCACTGACCTGTCCGTAAATTACTTTTCGTTCCGTAGTTTTCTCGTAAAGGAATATTACGAAACGTATCTTCGTTTGGTATGACGAAGAAGCAATGGCCACGCGCGCTACAATGTAGCTCTGCCGGAAAAAGGAGGGCAGGGAGACGCCTTTCCGTGAAAAGGAAGAAGCAGAAAGGTATGAGGGCGAAGAGCTTGAGATACTGTAAGTCAGGAATACGGCTCGAAAATTCTATCAGAAAATAAGGCAACAATCAAATAGTTTTCAGACCGGGGCTAGCTTCTGCATAGGTGAAGATGGAAACCTGCTAACAGATCTCAAGAGTACAGTGGAGATATGAAGGGAACACAAGGATTACCGTCGGCTCCGGGGCCTTGTTTTACTTAAGCCGCCTTATTGCTGGTTTCACCTCGTATTGGTCGAGCAGAGGGACGTGGTTCGAGTTCTGCATCATCAAACGCGCCACCTGTATCTGTTCCCAGACTTCCATCTCCAGCTATGCGGGAGCTTTCCCCGGTCTTAAAACCATTTGATTGCTGCCTTATTTTCAAATATAATCATCTAGCCGAATTTCTGCTTGCCGGCATCTCAAGCTCTCCGCACTCGCGCCTTCCTGCCTCTCTGTTCTTTCTCTTGAAATCGCTCAATTGTCGCACGTGTCGCCATTGGCTGCAGGGTAGCTTGGTAAGCTGCGTATATTTCTGCAGCAGCCGCGCAGCATTGTTCGCCATACCATCTGTTTACGCGCGGTTGGTAATAACCAACAACCTCTTTCGCAGTCGTATGAAGTGATTCGGATATGGAACACCACTGCTCATTTATGTCCTGGCGATGAGGAGTTGCTTGATTAAACAGGAAGGTCGATTACTGATTTATTTTAAGGAATAGGGTTTTCAGCATAAAATATTTTTTTTTTCTTTTCGGACTTAAATAGCTTAGAAAACATAAACAAAAATAGAATCACAAGAAATGCCGACCCACCGTAGGCCGAGGTGTATCCTCACGTGACGCCTAGAATGCGTACAACACGTTGCTGGCATTTTTCGTTCTTCCTTCAAAAT